CAATTAAAACACTTTACAAAAAATCCTCTAAGTTGATTTAATCGATTGTTTCACGATTCAATCGATTGAAATATCTGCAAAACTTTCTTGTAAAACTTTTCAAGTTATTTTAATCGATAAAAATAAGTTTTAATCGATTAAAACTCGTGTAGAAATTTTTAAGTTGTTTTAATCGATTGAAACAAGATTTAATCGATTAAAATCGCTTCTGATCGGTCATAATTGCATTATGATCGATCATCCTCAACCCTTAAGTGATTTTAATCGATTAAAATCAAGTTGTATCGATTAAAATATTGTCATTTCGCTGAGCGACGCTGGTCTCGCTCGAAATAAACGCCCACTGCACAAAATTGGCATTCTCGGGTTGTATTTCGCTTGAGCGATACTACCTCGCTCGAGCGAAATACGATTCTGATCGATCAAAACTTGAAGTGATCGATCATAATATAGAGGATATAATAGCGGTTAAGAATTAACCGCTATCTAAAATGTATTTAAGATAGCGGTTATGGGTTAACCGCTATCTAAATTATATTTTAGATAGCGGTTAAGCGTTAACCGCTATTAGAAGTGTTCTTCGCTCAAGCTGAAAATGAAACCGCTCGAGCTAAACGCCCCTGCACAAAATTGGCATTCTCGGGTTGTATTTCGCTTGAGCGACTCTAGTCTCGCTCGAAGCAAAATCGGATTCTGATCGATTATATTTTCTAAATGATCGATCATATTTGATAATTTTTTCAAATAATTAATTATAATCGATTAGTTTTCTAAATTATTGATTAGAATTGATTAATTTTTCAAATAATAGATTAGAATGTATTAATTTATGAAATTTAAAATTAAAAATATAGATTATTTAAGAATATTAACTATTGTAAAGATAAAGTAGAACATGGGATGAGATGAGGATGATAATATAATGATAGAAGTTACAAAAATGTAGAATTGAGAAGTTTGAAACAAAAAAAATGAAGATAATACTAGTTTTGATATTGATTTTTATTTTAATTATTTAAAACAGAGAAACTATAATTTTAGTTTCTAAATACTCAATTTAAAGAATTACAATATAATTACAATATAATTACAATAGAATTACAATATAATTACAATATAATTACAATATATTTTATTAAATTAAAATAATTACAGTATAATTTTCTACTTTGAGAATGAACAATATAATTAAGAAGATCAAGTCTAATATTATTGATGCTAATTTTAACAATAATACAATAATATTATTTTCGAAAACGCCCATATGAATGTGAATATTTTGATTATTATTATATAAAATAATTAAAAGAATAAGGTAAATATTATATAAAATAATTAAAAGAATAAGGTAAATAGAAAAGTAAAATGCATGGTTATACCACTTTCCTTTTAATCTATAATTAGTTAGGTATGAATCAAATGTAAAGTCTAATGTTATTGATGCTAATTTTAAGAAGATCACAAAATATAAATTAAAATAATTACAATATAATTTTCTACTTTGAGAATGAACAATATAATTAAACTCAAAATTGAGAATACTCTTATACATTTTTGAACTCTTTTGGATAATTTTTTTTCCTAATTTTTGATAAAGTTAATTTTAATATTTAAAACTATTTAACATTTTGAATTCTGAAAGGTTTTCTCTAATAGCAAATTTAAAAACATAATATTCAAAAAAATATTTTAAGATTGTGAATTCTCGGGTTGTATTTCGCTTGAGCGCAGTACTTCGCTCGAGCGAAATAAGTTTCTGATCGATCATACCTTGAAATAATCGATCATAATTGAGAGGATATAATAGCGGTTAGGGGTTAACCGCTATCTAAAATGTATTTTAGATAGCGATTATGGGTTAACCGCTATCTTAATCATATTTTAGATAGCGGTTAAGCTTTAACCGCTATTAGAAGTCTTATTCGCTCAAGCGAAAATAAAATCGCTCGAGCTAAACGCCCCTACACAAAATTGGCATTCTCGGGTTGTATTTCGCTTGAGCGACTCTAGTCTCGCTCGAGCGATTTTTTCTCTGATCGATCAGATTTTTGAAATGATCGATCATATTTAATAATTTTTTCAAATAATTAATTATAATCGATTAGTTTTATAAATTATTAATTAGAATTGATTAGTTTTTCAAAGAATAGATTAGAATTGATTAATTTCTGAAATATATACTAAAAAATTATAAATAAAAATATAAATTAGTTAAGAATATTGACTATTGTAAAGATAAAGTAGAACATGGGAGGAGATGAGGATGATAATATAATGATAGAACTTACAAAAATGTAGAATTGAGATGTTTGAAACAAATAAAATTAAGAAAATAGAGATTTAATTACACTTTTAATAAATTTAAGATAATACTAGTTTTGATTTTTATTTTTAAATAGTTATTTTAATTTTTTAAAAACAGAGAAACTATAATTTTAGTTTCTAAATACTAAATTTAAAGAATTAAATTTATTATTAATATTTTTTAATATTGTTTTAAATGTGGATATCTTTAATATTTTGGACATATAAATATAATTTATACATGTTTTTAAACCTTTTTCTAATATTTGTTTTTAAAAATATAATATCATTTTTAATATTTTATAGATTTTATAAAAGTAATTGGATTAAATTTATTATCCTCTCATATATTATTATACATTTAGCGTAATTTTAGTTTAATTTAAAATTAGAATACAAATATACTATACTAATATACCATTATATTATTTTCATTGTATATAAATTACAAAATTAATAATTTGTATACTATACTATACTAACATATTATTTGTATACTATACTAATAGTATAATATACTATATTATAATATTATTTGTATACAAAACTAATATCTTTATATATAAATATATAAATATGGAAAGATATAAATATATGTAAAAATATAAACATATAAATATATATAAATATGTAAAGATATAAACATATATCTTTAATATTTTGTACATGTAAATATAATTTATATATATTTTTAAATCTTTTTCTAATATTTATTTTTAAAAATATAATATTTTTTTTTAAATTTAATATTTTTTTTTCAAATATATAAATATATATAAAGATATAAATGTATAAGGATATAAATAAATATATCAATATATCAATATATAAATATATCAAAATATTAATATATAAATATATTAATATATAAATATATTAATATATAAATATATAAATATATAAATATATATATATATATATATATAAATATATAAATATATAAATATATAAATATATAAATATATAAATATATATATATATATATATATATATATATATATATATATATATATATATATATATACAAATATATCAATATATCAATATTATCCCCTCATATATTAATATACATTATTAGCATAATTTTAATTTAATTAAAAATTAGAATACAAATATACTATCCTATACTAATATAGCATTATATTATTTTCATTGTATATAAATTACAAAATTAATAATTTGTATACTATACTATACTAATATATTATTTGTATACTATACTAATAGTATAATATACTATATTATAATATTATTTATATAGAAAACTAATATCTTTATATATAAATATGAAAAAATATAAATATATGTAAAAATATGAAGATATAAATATATAAAAATATAAATATATGTAAAAATATAAAGATATAAAGATATAAATATATCAATATATAAATATATCAATATTTAAATATATATTAAAATATATAAATATATTTTTATTTATAGATTTTATATTTATATATTTATACGGATATACATTTATTTGTATATAAATATAATTTATTTGTAAGTTATTATTAAAAGATCCTAGTAGCTTAGTGGTTGGAGTTTCACTCTCCAACTCTAAGGCATCGGGTTCAATCCTGACAATGACAATAAATCACCTAATAATAAGTTAAACTTCTAAAAAATATAATATAATTAAGAGATAGGAGAAATAAATATAAATAAAAACTTAAATAAGCAAAAATATAATATAATTAAGAGGTAGGGAAAATAAATAATAAATATAATAAAAATGTAAATAAATAAAAATAATTAAATTTGTTATTGATTTAGCGACCGATTTAGCGACCGATTTTAATTATTATTTAAATAATTATATTAATATATTAGCGACCGAATATATTGGTCGCTATTTTTTAAAACTTTACCACTGGATTTAGTGATCGATTTAGCGATCGAATTTTGGCCATTAGCGATCGATTTTTTCGGTCGCTAAAAGCGATTTTTCTTGTAGTGTTATATTTAATAAATTCTTTTACTTTTTAATAGGAAAATGTTTGATGATGAAGGATCATCTTCTGAGTTGGAGTAGACGACCAAAAAGTATAACAGAGGAGCAATAAAATTGAGGTTCCTCTCACTTAGACATGGTAGTAGTCAGATAATACCTTTTATTATTGACGTTCGGGTGTAACCTCTAGGTCCAATGTTGAGTCTTTTAATAGTTATTTTGATGTATTAACTGGTTAGAAGATTTCTATTTAGTCTCATCTTAGGATCATGTCATTGAGGCTGAAAGAAATATTACTTGGTAAGATATCTTGGTAATCAATTTAATATATATTAATTTTTTCTTTCATAATTTGTCTAATTATATAGTCTTAACCACCTTTGTTTTTATTTTACTAACACATTATGATATTCCTAATGTTGAGATCAAAGATTCTTTATTCAGGGGCAACAAAATGACGTAAATTTAAGTTTAAAATTATGTATTTTATGCAAGGAGTAATAAATATCTTTGTACCAAATACATAACAATTGATGAAGAAACATGAACACAATTTGTTCAAACATGATGAGAAATGACAGGTAATAATATATTTATTTGTTTTTACATTTTTTAATTATAATTAACTAATTGATGATGTTATTTGTACTTGGTAACGAGTGTTAGGAAGAAAACATAAGCATATAATATGATCTCTCACTTATTGTCACCTGGGGGTTATTTGAAGTTTAAACAAGCCATGATGATGGAGAAAGAGAAAACACGATCTGTCTCTTCACCAGATACTTCTAGTCTTGACCCATCATTTCCACCTTCACGTCATGAGAAGTGGAAGAAGACTCGACTTATAAAATCAGGTAGATATATTTTTGAGGAGTAACGTCTTATGATTGAAGGGATTGTTTCTTTTATTTTTGATAATATTTATTATGTCAAAATTACAATATATCTTACCATTTATTTATGTTGCAAGATTCTTTGGTTGAGGATTGTACCCAAGGTGTTTTTATTCCTGAGGGTTGGCATGATATCCCAACAACTATCCTTGGTCGATCTGAGCACCCTGGTCATGTTCGAACTGCTGGAGTAGGTGTGTGAATTAAATCTTTCTTTGGATCAACAACACGTAAATCATATTCATTATCTAGTGGCTCTAGTAAGGAGTATATATAGTCTAAGAGCACAATTAAGAGAGGAACTCACACAAGAAGTCACAAAGAATGTGACACAAAACTTATGACAACACAACAGGTTAACTAGTGGTTGATGAGCTTATGACTCTTCCAATAGGCAATTGCTACAGATGTACCATCAGGGGAGGATACAGATCATCCTATCAGATGTGAGCTTTATGTTGAAGATATTGATTCCCATCAGTTGGTAGTATTTAGGAAGATGTTTGAAGGGCTACTATGTTACATAATGCCTCATCATGCTTGTTTGGTTAAGGTCATAGTTGAAAAAGTTCGAGATGATAGTGTTATTATATCTATGTCAACATATGAGCTTACAACTATAACACATATATTTCAAACTTTTATTGTCTGGCCTAAACATCTAGTTAGTCCCATATCAAACATTGTGATATGACAATAACAATCCTATATTTGATTTTTGCTCATTATATTGTTTTTAATATTAATGTTATTTATGTGTAGTCACAGTACCAAAAAGGTGGGAAAAAAGAAGAAACAATATATTACTAGTGACAATTTTTTTTTTCATTGTTGGATGTTGCCTCATTAGTACTAATTCAGTTGAGGTGCCATGGAGTTCTACTCTTTGTGGAAGGGAGAGTGATATCCTATTACATTTACACATGTCTCACATGTTAGATATTGCAATAAGAAAGAGTTTAACATATCCGTTATACAGTTGTGAATCATGTAAGTTATTTAAACTAAAGTTTTTACTATTCTAATTATTGAAATATTAATTATTATATCACTTGTTCTTACAATATTAGTGTTTATTCTTGATATAACATAATGATCGATAAGTCAAGTGAAAGACCATAAAAGCTCACGTGGTTGCATCTAAAAGTATAATCTATAATATTTATTTTGATTTATTTTTGTTATTAACAAACTAATTTAATTTTTATATTTTGAGAAACAGTGTAACATATCATCTAGAAGGCATGAGTGTGATTATTATGTAATACAATGAATTACCACCATTATCCAAGTAAGAATAGATAAATATTGTGATCAGATAAGATAATTAATATTTATTTAAAGATGATTAGACACCATAATGATACTTATAAAAATTTATTTACCAGTTTGTAGTTTTTTATGAACACATCTCCAATGGATACATACGCCATAAATTATATTAGACGCACCGATAATGTACTTCACCAACACGATTAATATATTATGAGAATTTAGTTTTTGTTAAAATAACAATATATGTGTTTGAAGCATAAAATATTTGACTGATTATTTTTGTATATTTAAGAAAGTTACTAATTATACTTGTAGAATTTATATGACTTTTGTAGGATTTTAGTAAAACTAATATTAAATAACAAATATTATATATAGTTATGATTCTGTATGTACAATATTAAAATCTATATTATACTGTATTGTGTATCATGAACATAGTTAATGAGAAAGAACCTAAAACAAATTATTCTTTTAAAAAAAAAAAATCAACATACAATGATAGTGCATGTTTGATGTAAGACTTCAACAAAAGTTACGATCAAATCCATAGTTATATATCATAGATATAATGACGAATTTTTATAAGTAATCGTTGTTAATGTATGTTATATATATATGGGTAAAAATACATTATTATATCTCTTCCAACAATGACTCTATTAATGATGAGTTCTAAAATAGTGTGATAGAACAAATTTAATATCCTTAATAGTCATTGTCACAATAGTGTTTTCATCGGATTTTACATGAATGACACATTATCCGTAGGTAACATGTTATGCATGGTTTTTCATGCCACTATTGATCTGGCAGAAGGGATGATCGTTGGCCAGAGCAACATAATTTGTATTTTTGCAGAGGATTACCTCTAACAAACTCCCTAGACACTTTGAGAATCATCTTACCATCATTCCAGTGCAGTGGAGAACTTTTTTTTTTTTTTTTTTTTTTCTAGTTGCCTATTTTGTTAAACAGTACAATAGCAGTTAATCCATTATTATATTATGCTTTTTGATGTCATGTTGGGGGACACAAAACTGTTGGGTTGTCGTCTAGAGCAATAGTATTTATTTTGGAGAAGTACTTGTGCTTAAATCTACTCTTACGTTAATTAAGTAACATTGATAATGTTAGACGAACAAATAAATGTTCAAGGATATCTGTAGAAAATAAGCAAACACGAACAAACCAGAAAATACTATATCTGAATTTTGGACAATATATATTGACAACTGGATATATATATATATATATATGTTGATAATATTTTTAATAATAATATAAAAATAATAAATAATCATTTCTCATGAATTTTTTTGTACAACCAAGAGCTGGAAAGGACGAGGGAGTTCAAGGACCTACCACCTGATCCTAACCCCATCTTCTTAAAGATGACAGATAAATATATTAAGCTTAAGGTTTTCATAAGGGTACAATATTTATACTTAGTACAGTAACGATGACCTACTACTGTACCATTCCAATATATCCTTCTATGTATGTATATGTTAACTTTTGGGATACTGCTGCATAACAACAAGCACAAGGACTGATTCCGGTTACCTTACAACTTTGTCATTAAAAATGGGAAGGATGCCATGCTGTGAGAAGGTAGGGTTGAAGAAAGGACCATGGACACCAGAAGAAGACAAGACGCTCCTCGCCTATGTTGAAAAGCATGGCCATGGAAACTGGCGTTCGGTGCCTGCCAAAGCGGGTAATACAAATTCTGTATACCTCTTTTTTTTTTTTTCTCAATCAATGAGTGTAAATGTTCTTGATACATTGAGGAATCAAAGTTTGAATCCTAATTTTATTTGTCACATGCATGGTGATTTGTTTGTATCTAGGTCTTGAAAGATGTGGAAAGAGTTGCAGATTGAGGTGGATTAACTACCTCAAGCCTGATATAAAACGAGGAAACTTCAGCATGGAGGAAGATCACACCATAATTACTCTTCATGCTCTTCTCGGAAACAAGTGACCTTTAGTTTCTTTTGGTTTTGATATTTTTTTGTATTGTTAGATCAAATGGATAATCATATATTTCTCATAAACTAATGGTCAATCATAGCAGCTCATATGTTTCTCTATTGCACGCACAGATGGTCAATCATAGCAGCTCACCTGCCAAAGAGAACAGACAATGAGATCAAGAACCATTGGAACACCAACATCAAGAAAAGACTCATCAGAATGGGCTTAGACCCCATTACCCACAAACCAATTAAACCCAACACGTTTGAAACTTATGGTGGTGTTCATGACCAGTCCAAGGACACCATCAATATTTGCCACGTGGCTCAATGGGAGAGTGCTCGACTTGAAGCTGAATCCAGAGGATCTATGTTGCAGGTTGGATCTGGATCCTCACATCTCCCTAGGTTAATTTTAAGCAAAATTCCAACTCAAACTTGTCTTTCATCAGATTCACTGTCAACCGAACACAAGACAGTGTACAACATGTATGCCCTCGTGCTTGCTACAAATCATGATTTTCAGTCATCTATATCCACTCTGAGCATTCCCATGCTTCCTGAAGGTTCTAATATTCGACAAATCACGAACAGAGAAAGTTTACTTTCATATAAGGGTGATAACAACGTCATGGGAACTAGTAGCCAAATTCAAAAGGAAATGGAAGGTTTTGAATCAAACTTAAAAGATGATGACATTATGGTGGCTGTGGAAGCATTTAGAACAGCAAGGTCTGAGAGTATTCAAGAACTGTTTAATGAATCAACTTCCATAGAAGGTCTAATATAACATCTTTAAAAATATATATGGTGGTTCTAACAAAATGTGTGTCTTGTAACTTGTTCTGTTTAGAGGGGTTTTCAGTTTCATATTAGGTTTCTGGGTATTTGATCACTCACGCTTTGCACCTTATATGATAGGTGCCGAAGAATGGTTCTGTAATCAGGAAACAGATAATAATAATATGTGTTTTTCTCGTGATGCAAACATTCCTTGTTCTTAAGATTTAGTTTCCTTTATTTTTAATGAAATATTTATTAATAAAAAAGTTATGGAAGGCCAAGGTCGTGATGTTAAATATGTGTCAACTATCAGCTCTTGTTCCTATACTCTTTAGTGACTTTCATGGAAAAACATATTATGAAAAATGTTGTATCCATTGTTTTTAATCCAGCACCTAAGTATTTCAACTTATGCATATTGAGAAAAACTTACGTAGCTGACAAATTCTATTATTTTTACACTCACTCTCTCTCTCTCTCTCTCTCTCTCTCTCTCTATATATATATATATATATATATATATATATATATATATATATATATATATATATCACTTATCATAATACTCCCTCTAATATTTCATATAAAGACACATCTTAGAAGAAGTTCTTTTATAATTTCTTTAAGAGAATAAATTTCTTTTCTAATTTGCCTCTATGAAATAATATAAATGTGTTTTCATTAATTTATGAGATAACTTTGGTACATGAAATCTCAATCAAAGTTAACTGAATTAATTATTTTTATTAATTTATATAATTCTATTAGAAATGTTTTTATAGCTAGAACAGGTTTTTTTTTCCGCTTTTATTTCTTACAATCTAAGTAAAAAAAAAAAAACTATATGAAATACACGACAGTACCGAATAGTTAATTTCATTTCATAACAAAATAAACTATATTTTATTTGAGTATTTCTTGTGCTACATTATTTAGTCTATTGATAAAAATTTTGGGTCATCCTTACAAAAATCATAACAAAATAAAATGAGTGAAATAACAAAGTAAGATACTCTATTGTGTTAATACAAAAATCATTTTTAACAAAAAAAAAAAAAAAATCATGTTATTGATACACAACTTTGGTCACTAATAGTATCAACAACTTTAGTGGCCAGCACTAACTCCCTATTATAGCGACTAGGACATTTCATATACGTTTTCACAGCATCTTCTGCACTCATCTGTATGCATAATGTTATAATTTTTATAACATTTTATGTGTTAGTTGTTTAATCGTACCCTGTTTACATTTACTTCTCCAGAAATCACGGTGAAACTTTATACTCAACCAGCTATTTGTAAGTCTTTGCTCATTCTATATTTTGTATTTTATATTAGTAAAGCAAGACCTTAACCATGCAATTGAAGTACATTTGATCTGTAACTGTGTTTGTTTTCTTAAAATCAACATTTCAAGTGTGTAGTGTCACAAAAACGGTTTCAACAGTTGACACTCATATTTGCCCTTCTGACACATCCTCCTGAAATATATTTACAAGGAAACGAACAAACGAGTTACACTTTGTACTTTTAGAGGAAAATAATGTGTGAACATAAAATGTTAGTAATGATGCCAACAACTACATCTCCAACTTCAAGAAACTTTGTTATTACTTCACATCAAATTAGCTTAAGATTCCTTAGTTTATAAATATGTCTTACATGTTTCTGAATGCAAAACTTTTGAACACCATGATACAATTTCTTATTGATTACGATAGAATCTTACCTATCTCTTTCTAATCAAAACCCAGGTCATCCATTCTATTTTTTTGTGTGGTAGTTATAAGTATGTAGACTGGAAACTGTATGTAGTTATTTTATCTGTCAAATATTGATATTAAAAAAAAGACTCAAAAACGATAAAAATTACTATTCTTGATGCGCCTTCCCAACTGATGCAGCCCCTGAACAGAAGTATTGCACCTCCATTACTCAATTCCAGAGAATTTATTATAAAAATGTACTAAGCTATGCCACCCAACTATCATGTCTGAAATGCAAGTAACCAAACTGTCGTAGGTATTAAACCAAAATCATAATGAAATCATTACTCCACACTGAGTTATTGTAAAAAAAATATAAAATAAAGTTAGGAATGACCAAAACACAGAATATCTGACATGTTAGGTTTGGGATTGCGAAGTTTTTAAAGTTAAAAATATCTCCTTCCTATATACATACAGCGTATAGATAGGTAGATATATTGCAGCAATACCAAAGTCAATCTTCCGGTTGCAACTATAAGACCCAAAACCAAGAGGAATAATGATCCGTTACCATCAAGACCATGATAAATGACTCAACTTTTCCACTGAATACAGTAACTTATTATGACAACAGAGACCAATCCATGAATGAAGTTTTTGGTAATTAGTTTTTTAAGAAAAAGAAAACTTACATACATCACTGTAAATATATATATATATATATATATATATATATATATATATATATGTATATATAATACATTTAAAAAATTTATGTTGGAGAAAAGTATTGTATGAAATGAAATAATCTTCTCTTCCACAAATACTATATACGTTTTGCAATAAAAAAACACTACTACAGTAATTCACTTTCTATCGACACCATCCAACGCTCAGTTATCACGTAAGACCGACGTTGTACAAGACGCGGTGGCAAACTTGTAATTATGAAACAAAATTTAACGTCGGTTATATAATAATCGACGTAGTAACCGGAATTCAACGTCGGTTATATGACAGACGACGTTAAATGTTTAAATTTAACGTCGGTTATGTATAACCGACGTTGAATTCCCAAAATCAACGTCGGTTACATGATTTACCCGACGTTGAAAGCGTATCCACGTCGGGTTTTTTAATAACCGACGTTGAATGTCCTATCCTAGCGCCGCGTTTCTTCAACTTCTTCTTCGTCTCACATATTCCCTCCTTCGCTTCTTCTTCGCTGTGCCTCGGTCCTCACTCGCTGCCCCTCGCCGCCTCTTCGCGCCAGGCTCGCCGCCTTCGCTCTCCCGCTCGCGCTACCTCATTCGCTGTGGTCTCGCTGCCCACTCTTCGCCCACTTCGCGCTCTGCCCCTGCGCTGCTACCTCCTTCGCCGCCCAGTCGCGCGCTCTCATCAGGTTAGATTAAGTTGTATGGATGATTTACAGCATGCATTTAACATAAATATGGATTTTTTAGAGCATTTCCTGCGTATGAACATTAGAAAGATGATGGATGATTTTGTATATATAGTTTGATTTGATCTAGGTTCGTTTAGGTTTCGAAGTGGTATATGGAACATTAGGTTTCGTTTAGGTTTAGGTTTAGCTTTCGAAGTGGTATATGGAACATTAGAGCATGTATGGAACATTAGAGCATTGTTAGGCAATGTACACGTTTTTTTTGTATTGTTTTGTTAAACCTTTTCTAATAAACCTTGAATATCTAGGCAAGCCTTCTTGTGTAGTTAGATGGATCGAACTTGGGTCAATGCAAGTCGTATGTCAGAAGAGTATGAGAATGGAGTTGACTCCTTTTTGAAATTTGCCGAACAAAATGCTCCCAAAATGAATGGAAAAATCTACTGCCCATGCGTTAATTGTGTAAATGGCAGAGTACAAGAGATGGACACAACGCGGGAGCATCTTATTTGCGATGGGATGATGAAGAATTACACCATATGGACATGGCACGGTGAAGTGGTTGATATTCCAACAGTATCACAAACTATTGAGGATGATGTAACCTGCGAAGATCGAATAGAGGACATGCTTTGTGATGTGGGTCAAGAGAGGTTTCTTGAAGCACATGCATCTATATATGATACATTGAGGACCGATTCAGAGACACCTTTGTATCCCGGATGTACAACTTTCACACGGTTGTCATCTGTGTTAAGATTGGTCAATCTAAAAGCAAAATTTGGTTGGAGTGATACAAGTTTTAATGAATTACTCCAACTTTTGAAGGAGATGCTCCCAGACAATAACACCTTGCCGGACCGTATGTATGAAGCGAAGAAGATACTATGTCCGATGGGTTTAGAATATAGGAAGATACATGCTTGCCCTAATGATTGTGTGTTATACAGGAAAGAATTCTCATCTTTAGACCAATGTCCAACATGTGGTGTATCACGTTACAAAGCGAAGGATGGTGATGATTGTAGTCAGGAGAGTGGTAAAAAACGTCCTCCTGCAAAAGTTTTATGGTATCTTCCAATTATTCCAAGATTTAGGCGGTTGTACGCTCACGAAGATGTTGAAAATTTAATTTGGCATTCAAAGAGAAAAACATGTGATGGGCAAATGCGACATCCATCTGACTCTCCCCAATGGAAGAATTTTGACCGTCTATTTCCAAGTTTTGGTAGTGATGCAAGAAACCTTAGACTTGGATTAGCAACAGATGGGATGAATCCTTTTGGAAATTTAAGTAGTAACCATAGTTCATGGCCCGTTTTATTGATGATTTACAATCTTCCACCATGGTTATGCATGAAGCGCAAATATGTCATGTTGTGTATGATGATTTCAGGTCCAAGACAGCCAGGAAATGACATAGATGTGTATTTGAGTCCTTTGATAGAAGACTTAACACTATTATGGGAGGAAGGAGTAGATGCATTTGATGGGTATCAGCAGCAGAAGTTCAAGTTGCATGCAATGTTATTTTGCACCATTAATGACTTCCCTGCCTATGGAAACTTGAGTGGGTATAGTGTGAAGGGGCATTATGCTTGTCCTATTTGTGAAGAAGAGACCAGTTATATACAATTGAAACATGGAAAGAAGACAGTTTATAACAGGCACAGAAAATTTCTCCCGCATGACCATCCATACCGTAGACTGAAGAAAGCTTTTAATGGCATACAGGAGGATGAAATTGCCAGAGAACCATTGACTGGTTTAGAAGTTTACGATCGAGTGAAGAACATAAACATTACATTTGGAAAGACCCAAAAAAGGTCTTCTGACAAGAACATGTGGAAGAAGAGATCAATTTTCTTTGATCTTCCATATTGGAGCCAT